ATGTGGTGCTGCAGGAATGACTCCACCCTCATTCAAACCACACTTCTGCTCATGAGTCTTCCTGATTCCATATTCCTAGGAGTAAGATTTCTATCTTGAGAACTAAGCTGTCCTAGCATGAGGACACAGGAGGAAGCAGAGATGCAAACAGCTTGTTAAACATACCCAGATCCAAGCTGATCAGAAATAACAGCTCCTTGAATGCACACCACAGAAGAAGCAGAAAATACACTCCATGAAAGATAACTGCTTAAAGTAATCAGTAGGAACGTTTCACAAGAGTTCACAGTAATTACCATACATGCATATATAATCTTGGGAACACTTCTTTAGATCTTAATAATTGCCTGGGAAAAGTCATGCTAGACACTATCAGAATATATGAAGACAATACACATATAACTATGCCAGCCACACAGAAAAGCATAGAAAGGGGTTAAGGAAGTTGAAGTACATTACTTTACAGAATATGTATAAGAGTAGCTGCAGCTGTCTTTTCCAAAGTGAAAATTCAGAAGAGAACAAAATAAACAAATACAAAAAATAAAGGGGAGGGATCACAAAACAACTTCTAAGCAATAACTTTTAAGAAAGGATATGCATAAAATTTTAAAAATCTAGATTATTAAATGCTGTAAAATAATATCCTAGTTAGAAAAGCAAAGTGATTCATAGACTGTATAACAAGATAGAAAGAAAAGTTTAATAGTAACATTTAAAAGCACTCCGGAGTGGGAATCAATAGTTCAATGGCAGATGGTTCATGCTCAGTGCATGTGTGAGGCACTGCGTTCAACCCCAAGCACAAAACAAGTGAAAAAATAAGCATAAAGAGTGTATGAAAATATATATTACACACACATACACAGAGTCTCACACTACAATCACATACAGGCACACACATTTGTTCTGAGTAAAGACAGACAAGATACAGCGGAAGTAGCACCCCTTTGTCCAAGAATGGGAAGGTGAGCTTGGTGTCCAATAAAGACCTTAGCTGCCAGATACTGAATTTACATGCTTTCCCTGAATGTAAGATTTTTTTGCATAATAAGAAACTTATTTGTTATGGAATATCAGTTTAAGATGTGCTATATTTGTTTACACTGCGGAATATTTGTTTAATGATTCAAAGAAGTGTTACATTTTTTATGTTGTATTTGTTTAACTCTGAAGCTGTGCTACTTTGCCTGTCTAAAATACATGAGTGGGCTAATAAAGAGTTGAATGGCCAATAGAGAGGCAAGAGAGAAGGGCAATTGGGGCTGCCAGTTAGAGAGAATAAATAGAAGAAATCTAGACTTGAAAGAAGAGGGAAGAGCCAGAGGAAGAGAAGAAGAGGAGGATACCAGGGCCCAGTCACCCAGCCAGCCATGGAGTAAGAAGAAAAGAAAGACAAATAGAATAAATAAAGGTAAAAAGCCCAGAGGCAAATGTAGAAGAAGAGAAACAGAATGATTTAAGTTAGAAAAGAGGCTAGAAACTAGCCAAGCTAAGGGCAGGCATTCATAAGTAAGGATAGGTCTTCATGTATTTACTTGGGAGCTGGGTGGCAGATCCCCAAAAGGTAAAAACAAACAAAATCTCCCCCAAATAATTCCACTTATTTTCCAGAGAGTCTTAGCTTAGTTGCAAACAGAATAGTAAATATGGATGTAACTTACTTTAGGACCAATTCCTAGCTCTGCTGTTCCTTTTCCCGGCCTTATTTTTTTAGCATTATATTTCTATAAAATTTGGCAAGGTGTAAGTCTCTCCCAAGGAGGTCTGAAGCAAGAAATTTGTTTCTACCACTTAAATCTATTTTATTCAAAAACATTATAATAAAAGGTCAGCCTAATGCCATATTATGACAATATATTGGCTACTAATAAAGAAAATTAATCCTCTGAAAAAATCCAACACAAAGTTTATCACTGATTAGTAGGTTTCTAAAGGATAAGAACGGGGCATGCTTTCCTGTTGTAGGGATGACAGGCATAAATATCACAATTCATATTTAAAAATACATATGCCAGCTTTTATGGTAGCTTTTTCTCACTGTATAGTTAATTAATGTGGTCTTGTAAGACAGCATCACACTATAGAAGCCATGCTGATCTCTAGTTCACAATACTCCTGCCTTAATATCTGGAATTGGGTGTTACCTGTGTTTGATGCTATATCTGGCTATTTGCTTTTATATTGAAATTTTTAACAAGACCTTAGGCAGTTATTGGGTTAAACATGAATTTAAAAGAGAGAAAGAGAGAGAGATTACAAAGTTCCCCAAGTATTGGATCCTTTCAACATCTGTAAATAAATGGGGAGCCTTCTGAAGGACTGTCTAAAGTCCATGAGATACAACATCCCTGAAGAAGTCCCCTTTATGCATGGAGCCTTCTGACCTTAATATTTACTGCATCTAGACAGAGATGAGAATATTTGATCTCCTGAAGCAACAAATCTTATCTTCCATCATTTGTACTCAACTGCAATGCATGTAATTTGTAAGATCAAATAATTCTCTTTAACTCAGCATGTATATGAAATGCTTTTTAATTTTATATCATCTTGATTGTATGGACAGGAAGCAGAATATAACCTTGTTTTATAATATAGGATTTCAGTTCCTCTCAAAGTCCTTATTCAAGTAGGAGTTTCCAAACAAAGACATTATTTCAGAGGCTTATTAAACAGTGCTACATTAGAAAGAAAAATGTATGAAAAAGGTCATGAGTAATGCTCAGTTTCTACGGGGAGCTGTATTATGCTTATGGTCTCACAGCCTGTGGGAGGCTGATCAGTGTGTATACAACTCAGACAGTCCCCAGATTACCTTTAATACTGGGCCTCACAGTATATTACATTTCCTGAAAAAAATTAGCAAAATCCGGTAAGTTGCACATCTTATCATGCCTTTGGCACTCTCACTTGATTAATAAAATATTATTGTATCATTTGTTCCCAGCACGAAAGAAAGGATAATTTTTAAAATAGATCAGTTCAAAAGATTTGTCTGACAGTTTGATTCAGTCAATAAAAGCTTGGTCTACTACTATGTCCTCATTTAATAGATAATGTTCAGTAATGAAAACAGATAAGCATTTTTGTCAACGTAATATGGCTAATAAAATCAGCACCCCTAAAAAGTGAGGGTATTTGAATTCAAAGGGTTCAGCCTTCCTTTCACAAAGCCTGCATCCAACATTAGCTTAAGAACACTGTGTCTCCCTTGTACAACTTTTAGGTATTAGTTACAAGTCTTGTAAACTGTAATGTCTCTGAGAACTCGGAGATTCTTATTTTTTATACTTCATGAAACTGTATTTTTCAAGCCGTTTTATGTCATGTCAACATAGAAAATAAATGAGGATATTTGTTTCCTCAATCCCTTTTCTTTCCTAAATTTCTCTGTTATACAGCATGGACCTAATACATAATTTATAAATTTATAAATAAAATTATTTTTTGTCCATTTCTCCAAAAAAAATAAAAAACCTTGGGTCAGTGTTTCACTAACTCTGTCTGATACAGAATTCACCAGACAGATAAGAATGGCCCCAAAGATGGTCTTAAGGTCCTGTTGACTCTGTCTCTTTTGTATCAAGAGTACAGACATGTGCCAACATGCCCAGACTGGCCTAAATCTTTTAAACTTGGGAATTTGATATGGGATTCCCCTCTGAATGCTGTGAATACTACTGGTTAATAAAAAAAAAAACTGTCTTAAGCCTGAGCAGGGTATAATAAGGTAGGCAGGGAAAACTAAACTGAATGCTAGGAGAAAGAAGGCGGAGTCAGGAAAAGCCATGTAGCCCCACTGGAGACAGACATTGGAACTTTACCTGATAAGGCACAGCCTTGTGGTGATACACAGATTAATGGAGATGGGTTAAATTAATATGTAAGAGTTAACCAATAAGACTCTAGGGCTAATAGGTCAAGCAGTGATTTTAATTAATACAGTTTCTGTGTGGTTATTTTGGGTCTGAGCTGCCAGGCGGCAGGGAAACAAACAAGCAGCCTCCTACAACAAGAATTGCTGCCATAGTCTCTAAAATGTCTTCCATGGTGATCATCACATTTAAGCAAACACAAGAAAAACACAAGAAATTCTTAATAATTTTAATTGATTAAAAGGATTTTTTGTAGCTTTATGTGAACTCTAAAATAAATTTTATATGATTCATAAGGGAATATAAGTAATTGATAAAGAGTACAAGACCCTAGACTGCTAAGTGCTTCAGAAGTTCGCTTGAAAAAAAATTGTCATAATGTTGATTTCATAATATACATTAATGTGTAATTCAGAAAACAGTTAAGTAGAACTCTAGTTTATATAATAATAGAATGAACCATTCTGAGAGCAAAAATTTGTCTTTAGTTCTTTAGCAAACAAAGATTCATCAATATACATATTTTTCAAAGAGTAAGAAAACTTTCTAAGTGCTTAAAACATATGAATATGTCAGAAATCATCTTATTCTAGCCCATGTACCTTCATCTCCAATGGCAAAAGGCTTCTTAGGTACAGGGTGAAAGAAATTACTTTCTATTTATTTCTTTAATAGAACTATCCTACAATTAACGGACTTCTTGCTACTGTCTCAGATACACATAAGACATGGGGAATGTAGGGAGTAGGGAGATGACTGAATAGTTAAGAACATTTGCTGCTGTTTCAGAGGACGCATGTTCAGTTCCTAGTACTCATACTGAGAAGCTCACAACAGCCTTTAACTGTAGCTTCAGGGGATATGACACCTTCTTTGGCCTTTATGGTACCCACATACATAGGTACAAGTGTTCATACACACACACACACACACACACACACGTACATCTTGAAAGAGATGAGGAGTGTGTGAGTTTCCAATATATCTATAGGCATATTTTCTGAAATTAGCAGGAATGAGCCACACCCACAGACTTTTATGTTAACATATGTGCCCATCATACAAAACACTGCACTTGTTCACATTTCATATTTTTCATTTCAAAAAAAGATATACTACTACCTTTCTTGCTTCTTTTATCATCTTCCGAATAGTTTCCTTTATTGTAAGTAGATGCGCTCTCGGTGGATGAAAGAGGAGTTCTATGTGGGTACTCCCTAAGAATCCGGGCATCACACATGGCCAGCCTAAATCAAGATTTGGAGCCTCCACATCAGACTGGGTGGGCCAGTAAGTCCCTGACGATGAGGCACCGTCACAGGAGCTATCAGAACCACCTTCTGTATTCTGTGCAAACTTCTGGACATTTTTCGAAATATAATTAATTTCGTCCTCAGCTAGAAAATCTGAAACTCGCTCCTTGACGAGGAATTCTTGGTAGGCTTCTATCCCATGTTCAATCAGAGCATCAACAGCCACACGGTACCACTCCTTGTAGTGTGGCTCGATGTAGTTATCGGATCTCCACTCATCATTTAGTGAGGAAAGCATTGATGAGGTCTCCATGGTTGCAGATGTTTGACGATGATACTTTCAAATGTTCATCTGTGCAGAGGTTCCTACATGTGTGATAAGAAAGCCAAGGTCAGTTAGAATTCTATACGCAGATATTTATGTTGTATGTCATGTATCACTTTGACTGCATTTAAATTAAGTACTGTTTGAGACAAACTGACACACTTCATATCCAAAATGACATTAATAGAGACACAATTCAATAGCTATCACATATCACAGTCAGTTATATGGATATCCCTTGCAAATTCAAGGCATTCCGAATTAAGTGTCTCATGTGACATAATGGACCTGTCTTCCCTGATGACACAGAACATCCACTCAACTTACACGTGAGAGCAGGGTGTGCTTGATGAGGTGGAATTTTTTGACATTAAAATAGCATTGGAATAGGGTTAATGCCTGCCTAGCCACTGATAAAAATACATTAATATGCTGAATGAAATATTTAAGAAAAGCACAAAATATATGTCTTCCAGGAATTTACTATTTAGTTGAAGTACATAGAAAGACATACATATGAAACTATTAGTCATTATTCTGAACCAAACTATAAGCCACGCATTACAGAGGGCCAAATGGGTCAGTATTTATGCTCATTAATTAATCATGTCGTAGTCACTGGTTTAAGAATAAAAGCAAGTAGGGATCAGTACAAAATAAATGAGCTATGGGCAGCCCTGAGAAGCAGGCTTGCTGCAGCTGCATGTGAGGCCACAGGAAAGGTCCTGCAGCAGAGGATACTTTCATTCCAGCCAAGGCCAACAGCACAGTCAGAAGAACAAAGCAGAAATGAAGAGGGAGGGTACTCAGGAGTCAGGGAGGAAATCTCCGTATACGGGAAAATAGGTTTCTTTAGGTGTGAGAGACTGAGCTGAGAAGATAAGACTGACTGAGCCAGGTGTGGAGATCAGGAGGCTGCCACGGTTCAGCCGAACCAATGAGAAAAGGCTCCACCTCAGACTCATTGTTTCCTGCTTCACAGAGAGAGACACTGGGCTTCACCTCAGTCAGATTAGGGGCCTCTCAGCTGTTTGAAATCCTGATACCGATTGTGGGGATCATAGGGCAGATGCATCCTGGGTTACAAGAACTACAAAGCTGATCTGACCAGAGCGGCTTTGGCAGTGGTTCTGAGCTACTTTAATATTCTATACTTTACTGATCTTTTCATTCGTCCTCCCACTCCAATTCAAACTCAATCTGTGAGGGGCAAGTCTGGAAGTCATTACTCTTCCTCATAACACTCACTCAAGATTCATACAGCCAAGTACACAGAGGAGTTGTGAGTATACAGGCTGATGAGGAAGGCTCAAAAGATCCATTCTCTGCAGAAACTTTCACTGTGAGGAGATGATAGATAGATAGATAGATAGATAGATAGATAGATAGATAGATAGATAGA